CCTTCCTCTCTCTTCCTTCATCCCCTTCCTCTCTCTTCCTTCACCCCTTCCTCTCTCCAGCCCACACCAGTTATCCTGCTGAAGGAGGGGACAGACACGTCTCAGGGCGTTCCCCAGCTCATCAGCAACATCAATGCCTGCCAGGTCAGAAGAACCTCTCTTCTCTCCTTTGTTTGTTTGTGTTTTTTTTTTCTGTGAGCTGTATGTGTGTGTGTGTAACTTAATATACGTTATATCTTTATAAACGTACCTAAAACATCAACCTTTTTCTTTTCCAGGTGATTTCCGAGGCTGTCCGGACCACCCTGGGGCCCAGGGGGATGGACAAACTGATGGTGGATGGCAGAGGTGAGGAGACGAGGGTTGATTGATTGATTGATTGATTGATTGATTTCTGAGGGAATAGATTCCAGGATGAATTCATCTTCACCGTTGGTTCATTGTGTTTTTAAAGGCAAGGCCACAATCTCCAATGATGGAGCCACCATCCTGAAACTGCTGGACGTGGTTCACCCTGCAGCCAAGACCCTGGTGGACATCGCTCGCTCCCAGGATGCTGAGGTGAGAACTGTGTGTGTGTGTGTGTGTGTGTGTGTGTGTGTGTGAGGCAGTTTCTGTTTCAATTTAAGGGAGTTTACTGTCACTGACCATAATGTTTTCATAATCTTTCCTTTGTACCGTCCTCAGGTCGGGGACGGCACCACCTCCGTCACTCTCCTGGCCGCCGAGTTCCTGAAGCAGCTGAAGCCGTACGTGGAGGAGGGTCTCCACCCTCAGACCATCATCAGAGCGTTCCGCACCGCCACCAACCTCGCTGTCAACAAGATCAAGGAGATCTCCGTCCCTGTGAAGAAAGACGACAAGCAGTGAGTGCTCGCTTTCCTCGCACTTATTTATTCACGTAGCAGCTACTTAGCATTTAAAGTTTGATCTATTCAATATGTACATTTTATATCCTTGGATTGAGCTTTTGAAAAACGGTTTAGTTGTGCATTTTCAAATGTATTTGTCTGTATCGTCTCAGAGAACAGAGGCAGCTGTTGGAGAAGTGTGCAGCCACAGCCCTCAACTCCAAGCTCATTTCTGGTCAAAAGGCGTTCTTCTCCAAAATGGTGGTGGATGCTGTCATGTCTCTAGACGAGCTGCTGTCTCTGAAGATGATTGGCATCAAGAAGGTCCAGGGAGGAGCCCTTGAGGTTTGTATATATTCCTCCCAATTGAACAAAACCTGCCTCTGAAAAAGCTTAATATAAGATATGAAAGAAACGGTCGGGTTATTCTTGGAACATTTGGGTGAAGAAATGAAATCCATGGATGTTTCTATATTTACATTTTACAGGAATCCCAGTTGGTCGATGGGGTTGCATTCAAGAAGACCTTCTCCTACGCCGGGTTTGAGATGCAGCCTAAACGCTACGACAATCCAAAGATTGCTTTGCTCAATGTGGAGCTGGAGCTGAAGGCTGAGAAGGATAACGCTGAGGTCCGCGTGAAATCTGTGGAGGTATGAAGACCACAACATAGCAGCAGGTTGTCAAATACGTTCCTGGAAATATCCGTCTGAAATGAATCTTCTGTCATTTCTTTTTCCCCTTTTCTGCAGGAGTACCAGGCCATTGTGGACGCAGAGTGGAACATCCTGTACGACAAACTGGAGAAGATCCATCTGTCAGGAGCCAAGGTCGTGTTGTCCAAGTTGCCCATCGGTGATGTGGCCACCCAGTACTTCGCTGACAGAGACCTGTTCTGCGCTGGCAGGGTGCAGGAGGAAGATCTGAAGAGGACCATGATGGTAGGACACACACACACACA